ACACCTCCGTCAGTGATGGACGTGAGGGGGAGGGCGGTGGTCGTTCGATCGAGCAACCTGAAGCCTGCTGCCGAGCGCAACGTCAAACTGCGAGCCCCAGATTCGATACCACGCCCGCCACTCTATGTTCCGAAGCATGGACTCCAAGTACATGACGCCGTTGGGTCGGTAGCGTGCGTGGCATCGCGCTTGCCGTGCCGCCATGTGGGCTGTCTCCCACATCCGCCCAAAGTCGACTCAATAAAAACACGTCAGACAGAGGACGCTGAAGCTCACGGACTGTGTCCTCATCCCTCTTGAACTGACGTGTTTTGTAGGAAGATCGTTGGTCGAGGAAGACAAAGGCGGCAGGCGGTTAGACGGCGACTTAAGACAAAAAAGGGAAATCGAGAAGTGAAATGATCCTATAATAGTTTTCCTACATCAAGTTCTTCTCTTCCTTGCGCATGCATGACGAGCTTGCAGCTCGCCCTTCAACGCCGCTATTCGGCCGATGGTGTTCATCGTCAGTGCAACTATGCAAACACAATCCCCGCCATGACCTTTCGTCACAAAGTTTTTCGTTTCCGGATCCGGTTGCTTGGAAATTGGATCGCGGCAAACTTCGACACTCCCCTAACTGTGGTGAAAGGTCGTAGCCGTTGGTTTTCCGGGTGATGGCTGTTCTCTGTCTTGTCTCGGCTCTTGAGCTGCCGTTGCCGTGTGACAATCGATCATTGATCACGTTCGGGAGTTGCCGTTAGAGAACTTCGTGGCACATTTCGTCAATCAATGCGTCGGCGCGCATCTCGGTGGTGGGGACGAATTGGAGCGTGAGGCGGCCGTGTTGGACGAGCTCGCAGAGATAGTGATGGCGGACGTCGATGTGCTTGGTAAGTTCATGGATGGCTGTTGACTTGACGTTGCGATGGCTGACATGTTGTCGCAGTGTAGGACTAGTCGACCGTCGTCCACGCCGAGGTCGTCGAGGAGCCCGCGCAGCCATGTCGACTCGAGTGCGGCTTCGGCTGCGGCGATGTACTCAGCTTCACAGCTTGACAAGGCGGTGATGCGCTGGCGGATGCTCTTCCACATCAGTTGGCCACAGAGGATCGACCACATGAAACCGGTGGTGGAGGGGCGATCCGGTCGCGTAGCCCAGCTCGCGTCGCAGTACCCGGACAAGGTAAATTCCCCTGAACCGAAGCTGATTCCCCATGTTGACGTCCCCGCTAGGTAGCGCAGGACTCATTTGGCGCCGAGGAGGTGCTGCGCTAGAGGGTCGTGGAGATGGCAGGACAGGCGTTGTAGGGCGTGGGCGATGTCCGGTCTGGTGCACACCATGAGGTATTCGAGCGATCCAATCATGGCATGGTACTCCCCTTGATCCACAGTCGGATGTTGCTCATCATGCCATAGGTCTTCATGGTCAGCGACTTCAGGGGTGGTGACGGGATGGCAGTTGGCCAGTCCGAATCGTTCGAGGACCTGTGTGGCGTACGCGACTTGGCATATGGTAAGCAGTCTTCCTTGATGGTGGCGGCTGATGCAAGTTCCAATCTGGTAGTGAACGGGACCTTGGCGTTTCAGCTCGATCTTGGTCGCAAGCTCTTCCACGGCTGCGTCCATGTTGGCCGGGGTTGGGGCGGCGATGATAAAATTATCGACATGTTGGTCAAGGTCGGTGAGTGCCCGCTGAAGAGTTCAATCGGCGTCTTCGTGCACTTGGTTGCCTGGAGCACGCGGTTGCAGATGAAGGCTGCGGTGTTGACGGCTTTGGCGCACCAGCGTTTGGCAAGGTTTGCGTGGGTCAGCATGGTCATGGCCATCTCCATCAAGGTACGATGGGTGCGCTCGGCCTCGCCGTTCTGCCATTACTCCCCTGCGGACGATGTCTCGTGTTTGATCCCCATCTGCTTGAGTAGGCGTCAAGTTCGGTGGACGAGTATTATGGACCGCCGCCAGAGGGGAACACTTTGGTCTTGTTGCCCGTTTGGCGCTCCGAGAAGGCCAACACTTCTTGCAGGTTGGTGGTTTGGTCAGCGTTGTTGGTGGAATCGACAAACTTTATTATCGTGTAGCCCGTACAATCGTCAATGTACGCCGTGTAGTAGCGGCGGCCGCCAACCGACGCGACAGGTAACGGTCTCTTGGTGTCTGAGTGCCAGCACTCGCCAGGCGTGTAGGTCCGGGTGCTGCGTTTCGGGACGGTCACGCGGTTTATCTTGGCGCGGGGTCCATAGTCCATGCACGGCTTGGACAAGTCGTTGGTGCGAGAAGGCAGCCCGAGGCCAGCCTTGGCGCATGTTCGCAACGCTTCAACAAGTAAGTGATCGATGCGGTGGTGCCAGATTGCGGTGATGTCGGCGGCGACGGCGGAGTGTGCTGCTTCGCGGGTGAAGACTCCGTCCAGGATGTACAGTACAGTAGAAAGGTTTTGCAACTCATCATTATCACCACCCCCTGAGTAATTGACAAAATCGAAAGTGTGCCTCCAGAACATTGTTAATGATACTGTGAAAACGAATGAAATTTTACTGGATTTCGTGTGCTGTGGTGACTTCCATCTTTATCCTCACAAGCGAAGGCATGTCGACACAGACCAAGCGACGCAACTTTACCGAGCAGGAGGACATCATGCTACTGCGCCAGGTATCGCTTGAAATGCCCTTCCAGACACGCCATGGCCAAGTTATGGAACGGTGGGCAGCCGTCGCATCGGCGCTGCAGGGTTCGGGCGAGTTCACCCGGGACGACATCGACGCCAAACGTGCATGCAATCGCTTCATGCTGTTGTTGGACGGCCACCGCAGAATCAACAAGGAGTCCCAACGCGCGTCTGGTGTGTCCGAAGAAGTCGGAGAGAAGACGATTCTTCTGGACGACTTGATGGTTGCGTACGACGACACCAAAGTGGTCGAGGCTCAGCTTGCGGACGAAACCCGTGAGGCTGCTGACCATGCCGAAGCAATGGGGAGCTTTATAAGAGCCGAGGCCATGAAGTCCATGGGGCCGAGGCAGATAGTGGTGCTGGTGTAGGTAAATTCATGAGAGTATTTGCCCTCATGCATGAACAAGCCAAGGCAGAACTTGAATTTCAGAAGGAGAAGTTCGACAAAGAATACGAAGAACGACGCAACGACCGCGAGATCATGGCGGAGCAAATGCGCCAGCAACAAGAATCAATGAATACGTTGATCAGGATGATGACAAATAAATCATAATCCTAAGCCGTGCTGTAAGTGTCTCAATAAGGTATGTCGATGACAAGCAAACACAAACTGTATTAGATGTCAATTATCTCCAATGTATCTAGATATTCTCGAACTGTTGGCGGCTTCAACCCAAAGAACTGGCTGATTTGATTTCCTTCAAAGTGGCAGCAATGGCAATTAGTCAAAAGCATCGCAACAGCAATGACTTTTGCAACCGGCGATAGTCGAAATTTTGACAACGTCTGAACGTGATGTATGCCTACAACGACTTCAATATCTTGAAGTTCCATTCCACGGACTGCCTCACTCGACTCATCCACTTATTGAAATCTTGTCTCTCTGCCGTCAAACTGTTTCCCTTAAAGCCAGAAAGCAAGAATGGCATAATGCCATAGGCGGGATCACCATACATGACCTTACCCTCAAACAAGGAACGATCATTAGCGAATTGTTCCATCAAGCCACTATGTCGCAGCATCGTGGCATCGTGTCGACGACCTTCAACGGGGCCAAAAGTGCAAGCAAATGCCATCGGGTGCCGTCACTGCCTGGTAGTTGAGGCAGTGGATTCTATTGTGACCACTGTAAACTTGCCGCTGCAAGTTTTCGCCAGTGCCGGTCGAGGATATGCGGCACGTCTGGAGCTTCGTGCCGTTGATAAAACCGAACACGTTGGACAACGGCGCCCCCTTGGCAGTTACAGCGTCACAGTACCGATCCATGTTCTGGGCAAGCAACTTCTTGTTGAGGTAGAGCAGCGAGCCCCACCGGTCGTATAGTTCGTTGATGACGTGAGAAAGATTTCGCACAAGGGGGATCGTGATCTGCCAAACGTTGTCGACATGGTGTGGAGGCGAACCGGAAAAGTCAAACGGCCCAGCACGATGCACATTGCTTCATCTCGGTGAACTCGATTTCTCGTCTCGATGACAATTACAGCGGATAGACCAAGGACAAAGCCCAACTCTTTGATGCCGGCAACGTCGAACCGATAATCCAACAGTGCGTTCGCGTCCGTCATTGCGTCTATCGAGAAGCGAACAGCCGGGATTAATGGACGTTCCACGACTCGCTCAGCCAACAGTGCAAGAATAATCTCGCGTTGGCGTCGCGTCATGGACATTGCGAGCAGCAGTACGAGTTCCTTCTGGAAGAAGGCCATCGCGCCGCCGTTTGGCGCGAAACAGGTGGAATTTTCAGAAACCCCGAAACCATATCCGGAAGAATTGTGATGACACTGACGCCAATGATTTGCAAAACACAAAACCAGGTGTCTGCATCATTATCTCCACACCGTGAATTGTCGAAATTGTGAGGATGAGGATAATGTAAGGATGGGTTGCAAAACCTTTCTAGTGTAGCGCGTGCCATTGACTTGGAACCGAGCAGGATCATGCACGCATCTTGTTGGAACTCCACGCGGACCTTGTGGTTGGCCCGCATCAACGCCGGGATGGACAGGAGCGTCGTCGACATACCCTTGATCAAGAGCAAGTCGGTCAGGGTAAGTGTTGTGCGTGAGGGCGTGCTGATGTTGAGCTACCCCATGGTAGTTGCGACGGTGACGCTGCCGTTGGCCACGACCACTTGACGGTTGCACTGCTCGTATCAAACAGGTGCTTGCTGGCGCCGGTCATGTGGACGGACGCGCCGGAATCGACGACGATGTGGAGCTCGATGGTACGTGTGTCGGTCGTTTCGACCGAGTATGCCATGTCGTTGGTGTCGCTGTCGTTGCTGCCACCATAGGACGATGCGACTTCGAAGTCGGCGTCGGGGTCGTCTTCGTTGATGTGGCGTCGTTGGTTGCGGCAGATGTCAAGTGCGTCGCCGTTGTACGTCAAATCCGAGTGGCTAAGATGTGTGATTCGTAGGCGTTCGGCCTAGCTAAGGGCTGTATCCGTCGACTTCGCGGGATCGGCATTCGATGGCGCGGATATTGTAACTTGGTGACCAAGTAGCGTCGGGTTAACCACGGCGGAATTTCTGCAACTGTGGTGTAGTCTTCGTTTGGGGTCCCGTGTTGGCGACGGGCTGTTGTTGATGAACAACAGTCTCACTGGTTGGACCGTAGGGTGCCAGTCGGGGTCGGTGCGTAGCGGAAGTGCCTCTCCGGTTTTGCCCAGGAAGATGGGTCCGTTGTCTTCGGCCGCGTCTTGGGTAAGTTGGCCGTCATCGCCCTTCGTCTCATCGTCGGACTCTCCTTGGTGTAGGTCGATCATGTCGACGCCGCTTTCAGTTGCTGAGCACATGAAGACGGCTGCGTTGGAGTGGTCCTTTCCATCGGACCGATGCCCTTTGGAGTTTGTCCGACCGTTCTCGCGGGCCTTCTTGCGGCACTCAGACTGCCAGTGCCCTTTTTACCACAGTAGTGGCAGGTTTCCTTGGCCGAGGAACGGTCGCTTCGTTCGGCTTGGCCACTTCGGGACGCGCCGCGACCTCGGCCACGTCCGTGACCACTGCATCCTTGGCGCCGCGGCCACCAGCGACGAACAAGGCGCGGTCTTCGTTGGCTTGGCCGCGTGGTGTCTTGATGGCGCCGTTCCGGACGGCTGCCTTCCACTCGGCTTCAAGCGCGATCTTCGTCTTGGCGACGGTTTGTTCGCTGTCGGGAAGGTTCGACAAGCGATCGACAAGATGGCAGAACTCCCACGGCATCAAGGCAAGTAGTTTGAGCACTTGGTTTGACTCTGTCTCTGTGGCTCTCACGTCCGATAGGCGCTGGACGAGGATCTGGAACCGGTAGATGAAGTCCGGCAGAGTCTCTTGGCGCGGGTCTCACGACAGCTTGGCCCACTCCATCGCGACCTGGATCCGGTCGATCTTCGTGATTGGTTTATGGTGGGCTACCAGCGCTTCGTAGGCGATGCGGACGCGCGTGTATCCTTCGATGTGGCAGTACTAGCTGGGTTCCAACGTATCGATGAGGATCCCGAATGCCTTCTGGTCGTCGCTGCTCGCGTCCAAGGTGGCTGACGTTGGCGTGTGAGTCAGATACTGATGCATTCCCTTCATCATGACCTTCACGCGGAAGTAGATGCCCCATTCGCGGAAGTTGTGGTCGTTGAGCTTGAGTGTGGAGGTGATGTTTGCCATATTCCTTTTTGTTGGTGGGTGCCTTGTGTTGGGCTCAGAACCTCTTGAACTGATGTGTTTTGTAGGAAGATCGTTGGTCGAGGACGACAAAGGCGGCAGGCGGTTAGACGGCGACTTAAGACAAAGAAGGGAAATCGAGAAGTGAAATGATCCTATAATAGTTTTCCTACATCCAGTACTTCTCTTCCTTGCGCATGCATGACGAGCTTGCAGCTCGCCCTTCACCGCCGCTATTCGGCCGATGGTGTTCATCATCAATGCAACTACAATGTATGCAAACACAATCCCCGCCATGACCTTTCCACAAAGTTCTTCGTTTCCGGATCCGGTTGCTTGGACTTTGGCTCGCCAATCCCTGCGATGCGACGCGAGCGGAGTCGAGTGGTCTTTCAGCGACCCCAAGTCCATGGTGAACAGGCCTAATGGCGCCGCGCGAGACGGTGACTCGGACGGCAGCGAGTGCTGGGATTTGTACACGTCCAACACAAACGACTTCGTGCCTGTCACGTTGAAATGGGTCCAAAAGGAGTAGTTCGTGGCGTAGTCCCCGAAGGATTAGCATGTAAGTCATGGCCATCGTGACCTGCGCCGCATCCGCCACGACAATGCTCGCTCGATCGACGACGCGAAGCCAAGACGGTCGATCCTTGCCGCCTCCCACGTCACCGCACACCGTCATGGCTCCAATATTTGGCGAAACTGTCCGTCGTTTCCAACGCAATTGCACGAACGTAACGAAACTACGTCTCCGGGATTCGGGGCAACCGTCCAGAGTTGTGGTTGTGCCAAGACGGACCGGCGGGACGATGCGTCGCGTCTGTGCAGTCGTGGATGGAATGGTCGGTGGGGTGTGCGACATCACTTGACATGGCGCATCGCGCGCGAAACCGGACCTGGTTA